TGAAATGCTGTAAACTGCGAAAATGAAGTCTCAAAATCCAAATGAACCGAACAAGATCAACGCGAACTAGACGTCAATTAATGCACGCGTGTCACCTGATCCACATATGCACAGAATCCTTTTTGCATGAGCAATTTATGATATATTAATGCAGAACAGAACATTTTTATTCGAAAACATGTCTGTATTTGTACAAATCCCTGCACAATCATTTAATCCTGAATTCCACAGACTCAAATTGAAAGGCATTTGTTTGTGGTTAGTAAGATACATGTATAAAATGTATGCAGTACATGAATAATTGTGCGTGCGTCTATTAATCATTTTGAGTCTAATATCATCCCATAATAAAGACCTATAAAACCTTTTTGTAACCTTGGCATACCAAATGTTTTGTTTATTAATCATAAGAGCAGCTGGATAAGGAAAGTCAAATATGATATTATTACAACACATGAGAAGCAAATAAAACTGCACCACCGTGAAAATGGGCGGCTTTCTATGCTTTAGCCTATTGATTATTTACTTAGTGAAGAATAAACTTTAACAGTTTAGCATTGTGTTTTACTAAAATATCAGACTTGTTTTTTTCAAAGTTACTTTTCAAAGTGATTACTGTTACTATACGAGCTATTCATCACAATATCTTCGTTAATATTAATGAAATGTTTTTAAAATTAAGTTTTTGAAATAATACACAACATTACGAGTATATTTGAACGTTGTGTAAATGTCAATGATTGTTTTTTTTAAATAAAATGAATACATCTACGACGCTGGGGGGCTGTACAAACATATTGACATATCTATAAGTAGGCTACAAAGACCAGAAAATTCACCAACAATTCATTATTTTTAGTGTAAATAACTATTATTTAGACACTGAGCAAGAACGGCATATAGGTACAAATACAATAAATGTACAAGATACAAGATATTAATTATAAAAAAACAATATTTAGTCATTGATATGTATTCTGATAAAAGCTGCGCTGTCCAGTGACACCATCTCTACTTTCAATGACCCTCTGATCAGGTAAAAACAAAAAGAGCTCAACCAACTGCAGTACATGTTAGTCTAACCAAAGCTCTGACTATAAACACAGTGGGGTCCAAAAGCCACATTGAAAATCTAGAATTCAAAATAATTGAATAATTATCTCATGTTGATTATACTTTTGTCATAACATTGTTTGAACTTTGCTGTAATTAAATATATACTGTATATATATATTTTCACTCGTGGTCCCACTTCTTTTGGACCCCACAGTATATATGGATCCTTCATAACACTGATCATCTGCTTTCCTTTAACAGCAAGTTCATCAACATGATGATGCAAGATGGCAACAAAATCCTTGCTAGAGGAATCATGACACAGGTTTGAATCAAATCCCATTACATACACACTGGCGGTCAAAAGCGTTTCACGGCATAGGCAAGCTAGGCAGTCACCTAGGGCGCCACCAGCAGGTGGGGGTGCCAATGAACACAAGTACTGGCACTACATTTTAGCTGGGCTGTGATAAAAGCTGTGTCTCATTTCGAAGGCTGTGCCCTCCGGAGGTCACATTCGAAGGCTGCATACGTCATCGAGGCTGTCTCATTTCAGAGAAGCAAGTAGGACACTCAGAATGCGACCTTCGAATGCGACCTTCTTTCACAGGAATTTGGAAGTTGCATGAGGTGTATCCTTCGCTGCTACAGATAACCCACAATTCTTTGCGTCGCCGTAAACAACCATCGTTTATTTGGGGGGAAAAAATGGTGGCGCCGACAGATGTAACATTGTAACGTATAACCTCAGTTGGTAGATGTGGTAAACAGGATTACAAGTGTTTAGTGATTTTTAAATGTTGAGAATAGTACTTTGCTAGCAAGGCGAGAAATTATTAATTTGTTTAACCCTCTAGTATTGTACATTTAACTAGCGTTAGAGCGCAACAACGCTATAAATGTGTTGGCATAGCAACGTGATACTTCCTGTTTCCTTTTCTGCCCCTCCTACAAAGGCCATCTCATTTAATTCTGGGTTGAGGACACTCCGTATACACATCCTTCAGAGGACACAGCCTTCTAAATGAGACACAGCTATAAAGTGGCACGGCCAACCTGAAATATGATTGCCACCCCCACTGGATCCCCCAACATCATTGGGCTAGAGGTACTGTCAAGCTGACGATGCCATGGGATCAGAGCGCTGTCAATTGCTGCCGGATTGTTGCATGCCAAGTTTGATTTTGGAGCCAGTAGCCCCTCACTGCGGAACACAAGATCCAGGGGGCATGGTTTGATCCACATCTACGGGTGGAGATTGCTAGGTTTAGGGGTGGAGATGGGTGGGTTTAGGGATCAGGGGGTGGAGATGGGTAGGTTTAGGTGTATGTCAGGTGGGAGGAGTTGGATCTGCATCCAACCACGCCCCCTGGACTTGTGTTCTGCAGTGAGGACCATCTCTTTGGAGTGCTCAACACCACCATTAGATCAAATCCATTGGCAAGGTAAGATTTTTATTTTATTTTATTTTTTTGCCATGCAATAAAGCCAAGTTCAAAGGCCAATTTAAAATATTGGTACAGTAAAAAGTGCACAAAATGAGTAATTTGTTAAGGCAGTATTTGTGGCAGTCGAGAAATCATGCTGCATAATTGGTCCAAAAGGTGTGCGTATTTGCGCCGATGCATTGTTAAAGGATCAGTGTGTCATAGTCACATATAAAACTTTAACGGCTAATTAAAAAATATTGGTATAGTAAAATTAGCTAATTCACAAGATCAATACATCCTTTCTTAAACCGCTTTGTTGAATTTAATGCATCCTTACGGAAGTGTTGAAATGCTGAATTAATTAATTCACTTCTAACAGGGCTTAATGGGAGCAGAGTCCTACACATAGAGGGCAGAGTGTTGCGTAATTTAAAGGGGAAGTTCACGCGTCAATGAGTAACAAATGTTACTTTTTATGAGTAACTTGTTTATGTAGTTTGGGGTAACAAAGGGTTTTATAGGTTTGACTGAAATAATCATGAAAAAACAGACAATTTAAATCAACAAAACAACTAAAAAACAAACAAAGACAAAAAGTAGTCATTGAAAATATCTAAATTATCAATATCTGCCATCACACATTAACTTCAATAGCCAAAAATATAAGGCTTCTCAGCACCAGACTGCTGTTGTCTTTTCCTGAGGGGTGTGGCGGAAGTGGGAATGTGCCATGTGAGCTTACTGTTTTCAACATAATTTTATTTTTTAAATATATATTTATGTTTACATTTACACTTGTGTTTATGTTAATATTGATATGGAATGAAAGTTTTTTTTTTTTTTTTTTTAGCAAAAGGGATGGTGCCCCCTGGAAGTTGGTGCCCTACACAAACTGAGTACTCTGCGTATAGGCAGAGGCGGACAAAGTACTCAACTCCATTACTTGAGTGAAAGTACAGATACTGCTGGTCAAATATTACTCCATTACAAGTAAAAGTTGTAAAGACAGATTTTTACTTAAGTAAAAGTACAGAAGTACTTGCTTTTAAAAGTACTTAAGTACCAAAAGTAAATTTCCTTTTTTTATGTCAATGCACTGTTTTATTGTTGTACGTAATACTTGCAATACTTCTGAAGCAACTTAGAATACATTACACCTGCTGAATACACTAACTAGCTTGTAGTATCTTTGGAATAAAGAGCTTTTAAATGTTAAAAACCTATGGGGGGAAAAAAATGAACACCCCTACCCACCCCCACAAAAGCAGGATGGTAGTGATCTCACACAGCTCTGACAGTGTGTGCACACATCTATGTTTAACCATTCATCCACACATTTGCAGAGTGCACAGTGAAATCCTGTAAATACAGAGTGATAAAGAAAGAAAAATCAAACCTGCTTTAAAACCCAGCAACACAACTATAGCTGTATAACTTTACAACAGCAGCACTGCTTTAACAAAAAAGCAAAACAGCAAGACTTATTTGACATCAAAAAAATTTTTTTTTTAATGCGGTCTAATCACTCTCGCGGTACTTTGATGTCACACACAGAACAGTCTGTGCAGTGCTGCTCCAACACCTTTTGTGTTTTATTAGGAGATGCACAACAGTTCTTCTGTGGCTTTATAGGTAATATTTTCACATACACAATTTAGCAAAATCAGACAATATTGTGTCTAATATATAGCACAATATTAACTTCTTATTATTGAATTGTTGTAAATAAATATCACATTTGCAACTGGTCAGTGTTCAAAAAATACTGGGAAATCACTTCATGTAGCCCTACAAGATGATTGCTGATAAACTGTCTGAAAAAAAGAAAGTCACGTTTTAGAGAAGAAAAAAAACACACACTGACTTTCAAAGCTGCTACATAGTTACAACTTTCTACTTCGAGGACCTTGATAGAAATGTAGTGGAGTGAAAAGTACAATATTTGTCTTTCAAATGTAGTGAAGTTAAAGTCATAAGTTCCCAGAAAAAATAATACTCAAGTAAAATGCAGATACTCAAAAAGTGTACTTAAGTACAATATATATATGCGTATAGGGAGTGGCAGTACTGGCCTATTGTGGGACATCCCCTATAAAAACTGACTGTTGTGTTTTATACTTACTAGAAATTAGTTCTTTATAGGCATGTGGAGTTAAATAAAGGCATATTATTTAACATAAACTATTGATTTTGTTTTTCATTGTGAACTTATTTTGAAAGTATACAGTTCTCTGTATACTTTCAGTTCTTTCAAAATGGCACCTCTGTGACTTCACACATAATAAATGCACGTGACTGACAAAGACAGAATGCAATTCTACTTTGGATTCGAATTCCAAGAAGATCCCAGAAGTGTCGTCGTTGAGTGTTGTAATCAGTAAGACTATCTATCAATTGCGAATAGTGCGCTATGCATCAAAAAATGTTTGCTTGAAATGTTTTACAAAATAAATGTCAATTCTTTTTAGCCATTTTCATGAATTCTTTTACATGGTGTGCGTTTCCCAAAAGCAACTTCCATTGTTATCAATATTCATCAGAACTTGCGACCATGGCTAGCTAATGCTTTTGGGAAACGCTCCCCTGATCTGTAACTTTCCAAAAATGTTTGATGGACCTGCTCAACAATCGTTTTTGTACTTAACATAAGGAAGTAAAATAAGTTACAAGTTAAAATAACAATAGCACTTTTTGCTCTTGTTGAGACCTCTAGTGGCCCACCCAGTGACAAATGTGAGGGGAGCCAAATATCTCTGGTGAGCTGTTTCAACTGAAATAAACTTGCACTGATTGATCTTAAAATATGTCAGTGCCCTTGTTTTGTCTCAAGATACACACCAGTAATTGTTTTGTTTTTTTTCTATTTCTAAGGCATTTTTATAAAAACTACTTAAGTGTCCTAATTGAACTATGGCCTAATCCTGGTTTAGTCTAAGCCCTGTCTGTGAAATCAGGCCACATTGTTTATATTTATAGCGAATCTCTCAAAAATTATGTTTGGGTCTTGTTTCATACAACAAGAATAAAAAAAAAAATCTTAAAACGTTTTGTATGCGTGTGCTTATTTTCATGTCAATTAACTTCCATCATTCTGTTACTCACCCAGTTGTTTGTTTACAGTTCACAGTGAGGTCCTCACCCACACACTGCAGATATGGACTGATTTGGTCCTGATAAATGCTTTGAAAGAAAATAAGGAAAATATCAGCACAAAACTTCAGGTACTTGAATGAAATAATTTACTAATGTGACTTTTACTCACCAACACTTTTAAATGCAAACATCTCATCCTGATGAATCTTCAGCACTGTTGTCCAACATGCCCAATGTTGGCCTCTTCTTTACATCATGAATATGTTTAAGGATGTTTAGAGGCACCAAATGTTACTACTACTGAAAGTGTTTTTGCACTAGTCCCCATAGATTACATTATTGAGGGTAATACATTTGAACCTTATTTTATATTTTTTATGGAATCACATGAAGACAAGAGCTGACCTGAACTCTATACAGCTGGTCTCTGATCAGCCAACACACTGTAAAAACCCCACATCTGCACTCCATCAGTGCATGAACTGAACTTTATTGAACTTCAGTTCCCTTTCAGTCGGTCACTCTCGACGTCACGTCGGAGGACCGACGAAATTGGGATCTCGCTTAGAGGGACCAATCTACTTCGAGTGTAAACTAAACGAGCCAATGCAAATTGGCATGCGATTATTGCATCCAGCTGCTGCTGATCACAGCGTGAGTATAAGTAGGCAGCAGGTGCAGCGCATATTCAGCTTTTCGCTTCGGAGCCGAGCGATCACATCGTTCTGCTCCTGACTACTCTACTGAGAGAAAAGACTGAACGAGTTCAGCGCGCTCTTGGAGAGCTCTTCGTGTTGGGTGGCTGTTGTGTTGGTAATATGAGACAAGCAGCAGCTACTGATAAAGAAAATTAATAATTCAAACACTTTAAACTCCTGTGCAACCATGATGATATGGTTATCTGTCTTTATTCGCTTAATCTCCTGAATTAAACAGTGTCAATAATGCTTTGTGTCACACAATTAAACATCTTGCATATAATTACAGCCATTTACAAAAAACAAAAATTACTTTTGAAAAGAGCTCACAGTAGAAACCCATTTGGATTACAACGAAGAACAACACTGAGGTGTGTTTGATCACTGTCCGGACTGATGAACAAATTCTCATTGGATAAAGTGTCTTTTTCTATCATTGTTTTTCATGTTTGTGTTTCCACTGAATCAAGCTGAGTTTCCTCTCTCTTGTCACTCCTACCAGCCTCCAGATCTTGATTCAGTAGAGCATTCATTTCATGTAATTCTGCTGTTTTTTCCTTTGATCCACTGACTGGAGTTTCATCAGACCCTTTCTCGGTTTGGGACAAGACATATCTTAAAAAAGCCATTCAAAAGTGGATGTGTAAACAAAAGTTATATATAAATAGTTTTCATTTGACACTTACTTTTGACTACTAAAAAGTATGTTCTACTAATATGTGTAGTATGAATGAAATTTGGACACACCAGTTCCATGCTCCACTGCCATTCACAAATCCTTTCCTGTGGCCTCATGGGATAGTAAAGTGTCCTCTGAATATGCACCTTAGGATCTTGAAATAGAAGGTCATCCAGTTACATTTTGCATACTGTTTTTTTGCCTACTATACAGTACGGAAGTAGACATATTTGGACGCAGCATGTGTGTTCTTGTGGTGTCATCATGAAGTCAATTCACTTTGGATCCAGAGTGTATTTTCTATATGTTCTATTCATATTACAGGTCAATTTATTAAATATGATTTACATTAAATACAATACTAACCTGATATGATTGGAGACATATTTTCAGCCCTGTTGTTTGAAGAGAGGGTAGGAAAAGAGATGATTAATGGATTATTCAGTTCCATTAAATATAATAAATGCAACAAATCAAATTTAGTTTATACTTACATGGTTCAAAAACTTGTAAAATTAGATTATATCCTGATAATAACAAATGCTCTCAATGAACAAGCAGTAAAATATCAGTGTGAAAAATTGCAAGTTAAGTCAAAGTATTCTTCTGAAATGTTTTAAAATGGTTCAGAATTGACTCCACACTTACGAACAAGTTTTATTTAAACCAGTTTCACCACAAAGGTTCGGGTCAGAGGACAGGGGTGACAAGAGGTCCATCAAGTGTTTTTGCACCGGGGCTCATAAGATAACGTCATGCATATATATTGATGACAACAAATCAATGTGATGAAACTAAAGACAAATAAGAGAAATTGTTATTCGTGGTCTCATGATTTTTATCATGACATATATACAGTATATATACAGTATATGATGATTATATCTCATGATCTTGGAGACTTCAATAGAAAGCACTCTCAACATTTATTATTATTTGAACTGCACGTACACACACATAAACTATAGCAATTAAAAGACACTTTACAAGCGGCTTGTTCGTTTTAAATGTTACATAAATATTTTTGCATAGATTTTGGCACAGATCTGTTTAACGTCAGCAATATTAGCTCCTTCATATTTAACTAAATACTCAAAGATGAATGAACACATTTTTAATAACACACCAAATTTACATAAAAGCTGTACCTCAATCTGTTTATGAAAAAAAATACTTCTTGTTCATAATAACTATTACAATAAACTTAATACTGTTACAAAAATACAGCATGTTTTACTTTTGATGTGGCAACCAATACAAAATTATTAAGTTATTTGTAACAGAATATCACTAGACTCTCTGCTTTACAATTTAGTTTTCAGTCTCAGCTTGTTGGTTTTTACTGCAGAGGAACTCTTTTGCAGACAGACAGAGCAGTCAGAGTACAGGATAAATGTGAAAGACTGTTTCTCATGTCTTTGTCTGTGAAACATCAGGATCAGCTGCAGACAGATTCTCCATTTCACGAGTCTCTGGTGTATTCTGTGTTTAAAACAAGACGTTGTTTGGTACAAATCAGTACTCCACGGTAAAATGTCAAAGCTTATATTGCAGATCAGCTGATACATCATATATAATTATTATATTACCCCGAGTTGACCTCTTTGATGTGAGTTCCTTTGATTGTGTGTAGATCTGTATTTGAAAACAGAACTGCAGATTAAACATGGATACATACACAGTTGAATGTACTGCATACATACAGTACATACGGTGTTGAATAAAAATCTGAACTTACCCAGCTGTAACAATCCTCACTATGTGACAGGAGACATTAGAGAGAAAGTTGTTTCAAATGTTAATAATCGATTGAATCAAATCAGAATCACAGCAAATAAAACAGATTCTGTAAGTATTTTGAACAGATTCGATGGCTTTTGACCAATTTTTGACCAAATGTTCCTAAAAACCTCACGCATATAAATCATACTAATGTTCCTGAGTTTGAGTCAATATTTGTAAAGTTCACTGCTGGGAAATTTGATAGATTTAAATCTTTCTCTGTGTCACTATACTGTCACTTTTGTATGGAAGCCCGTTTCCGCCACTGAACAAAAAAATAAAAGAGGTAATTGCGACTTTTTATCTCACATTTCTGACTTTTTTTCTCAGAATTGCGTGATATAAACTCGTAGTAAAAAGTCATAATTGAGAGATATAAACTCGCAATTCTGAGAATTGCGTATTTATATCACACAATTCTGACTTTATAACTCGCAATTTTCTTTCAAAAAAGTCAGAATTGTGAGATAAAAAGTCGCAATTACCTTTTTTTTTTTTTTATTCAGTGGTGGAAACGGCCTTCCATACTTTTGCCTTTATTATCACAGAGCAAAAGCAAAATAAATAAAAAATAAAGATACTTACAGAAAGCACGCATTTGTAAAATCAGCCAATACAAGACAAAAACACTTTCAGAAGGGAAGACAATGACTCTCATATCCTTCATGACACGCTCACCATTTCCTAAGAATTAAAAGAATAATAAAGAAGAGAAAGAAGCACAGGACATTTGAAAGCAAAATGGTAAAGCAATCTTCAGCATTTGTAAAATGTAACCCTGCTGTGCTCTGTTATTTTTTAGCATGGTTTTTGCATTATATAAAATGGTGTGATGTTAAAAGATTTCTATAATATCTATAAACGGCTATACACACATACACAAATGCATATATACAAATATGGAAATACAAACATATAATTATTTGCAGAAATAATAGATTTCCACTTACGTGCTTTCAGGATCAGTTCTGCTGTCAGTGTAACAGAGTTCAACAAAACAAGACCAACTGCTCCAAACATGAACATGATTTCACTACAGAGAGAGACTATAACACACACACACACACAAAACAAACAAACATTAAACAGTGTGTTTCATTTAGCAATCAATAATTAGCAGACTTTAGCAGTAAATAATTACACGTATTTGATCCTTGTTGGCTTGACTCAGTCTGTCGTCGTCTCAGGACTCCTAAACGTTCTGCCCGTTAAAACAAAAATCAAATCTGATTTGAATTTTTATTGAATAAATGACTGAAAATGACTAAATTAAAAATAAAAAAAACTGAATAATTCAAGAAGGCCTATAGTAGTAAAGTGAGATAATATTGTACGAGTGTTGGATAGTAACTGGTTATGTAATCTAGATTACGAAATAAAAAGATTACGATGTAATTATAATATATTAAATTTTTTAAATACTCATAATGAGACTAGTTACTTTTTAATGATTTTATGATTGCATATGCACACAATGGCAGCAGATTCTCCATTATTTATTGATTCTCCTTAATTCTTCTTTTTATCTCTTTTAAATTTTCTTTTCTTAATCAGTCTATTGCTTTTATGTATGTTCAAAAAGTCTTCCAGTTTCATGGAATTGCACACACTAGCCACTAGTCAGGTGATTATAATTACACAGAGGCCACACAGCATTGGACCACTGGATTTACAGAAATCATTGCACTTTTAAGGTGATATATGGCAAAAACATTACTGTGCGCTACAAACTTTGTATAAACTCTACATTTGCTAACGACTGCAAAGAACTACACATCTCATTTAAAATTTTAAATAGAGAGAAATGTTTGTGGAAAAAAATAAGGAAAAAAATGATATAAGCTTGTTTTCTCAACATGCACATGATCATGAAGTACATGAAGTAGCACAGCACTGAATACTTATGTCAATTTAAATTTTTTTTAAATACATTTCCTAAATTAATCACAAAAAGGCTGCAACATAAAATGTGGGGAAAAAAATAAGGCGTCTGAATCGGAATACTTTCAGACATCACAGTTCAGTCTCATGTTTATTGCAAAACTCACCCTCATACTCATGACTAACAAAGGGACCATTAAGAAATTAAAACAATGCGCAGTTCAGGAAGCACAAAGTATAATGAGTATGTCTGCTTTATATGACTTAATTTCCCTTAATATTAACTAAATTAACTAACAATATAACTAATGTGTTATACATTTTACTTCCGAACAGCATTGTTTTACTTTTTTAATTTGCATATTTTAGACAGTTATCTTATTTCTACATCTTAGTACCATATTGTCATGCTCTTTTTTATAAATATAGTATGGAGTAATAAAAGACAATGCAAGTATCACAAGTAATCACAAGCATTGATGAAAAAAAAAAACAGTCAGTGATGGATAATACCTTGTACATGGTTTTCAACGACCACGGTTATCTTCAGAACTTCAAGAAATAAAATGACACAGGTCCATTCCAAGTACTCTGTAAATAAAAAAGGCACTTCTGATCAGCACAACATGTCTTACAAAACAAAATGTTGTATGTCTTCTAAGTTTAGCTATTATATGGCTATCACTTATCACTAAGTTAAATATGATCCTGTTGGATCTAGGAAATGTAAAATACATTAATCACCAACCCAGGCCAGGAACCCAAGCTAAACCTTACAAGAAATATCTGTCCTGACAAATCTGAGCTTTCACACAACAAATCTACTTTAAAAAATAATTATTAAATAAAGGCAGCATACCTTTCTCCCTTTCCAATATGACTAGATGAGCATAAATCACTAGGATGATATCCAGGAGTGTCATTATTATTATATACAAAATTTGTATCCATCTGCGGCGAAGAACTGTGAATAAAAAAGATGACCATCTGCTTTAGCTTTCACAAGTCACATACAAGAACTGAACTCAGATCTGACACGGATCAATTTAGAAAAGTCAGCATGAAATCAAAATTGAATCTATATAATGCTTTTAATGTATGTTATTGGTTTTACTGTGAACAATTCACATTTCACAATACAATCAACAACCAATGGATAAAATCAAGTCATGTCCAATATTATAATTTACTTTTGGTTTGATAGTAGTTTCACTCAGACAAAAGTCACAATATGGTTGTAAAGTGAACAGCAGGAGCTTCAGTTTCATGCTGACTTTAAATCACTTTTAAATAAACATGCATTAAGCAGTAATATTCAATATTCTACCCATATACAGTAATATTCAAAATCATCACAAATGTATATATACATGATTATTATATGATTTACTCTTTCCAAACCTATACAAACACAATAACGATCAGAATGTACTTCAAGATGTACTTACATTTAAATCTTGCTTGCAGAAGAGGTAAAAGTGGTATACAGAACAGCAACAGTGGTTGAACAAATGGCACAATAAGAAACACTAACATAAGAGAATAACAGTTTATTAGTTTCCCATCAAACAAAACAGTCAATAATGTGTCATTAAAACACATCATATGATTGCTCTGAATGTTTAGATGTTAAAATCACTGAAATAAGAGTCTCAAAGGTGTTTTTCTTGTGGAGCACTTATTGGCTTAATTTAGTCTGCATATTTATGTCAACATATCAATCTACAAGTACAGTAGTTCTACATCAAAGTGAAAGTGGCTGAACTACAAACAACTAGATTTTTATCACAGAAAAAAAAATCAGTTCATCAGTTTAATAAATTATGAAGGGATCAGTATTCAGGTGTTACCTAAAGAGGGAAGTCCTAATGAGTAGACCATCTGGAACAATTGGGGAAAAGACAACAACAACAACATACAAAGTGCGGAGAGCCGCATGATTTTATCCGCCATTTCTGCTCTCATGTCCCTGGACAGTATCATCGCTGTGGACATGACAAATGTCCAGTCAGGGCTAAGGTTCATGCATCAAATCTTAACCTGCAGCAGCTTTGAATGCTTTTATAACAAGCGTGGAGCACTACAGTTAAGTCACACAAAGATGATAACATTAGCAATGCTCTGCCACATATACAGTACAATTTACAATATAATTTGTTTGTAACTGTGCTTGTTCCTTTTGTTGGTTAAGTAGTAGAGGGTGGTAACAGTCAAGAAAATAATAAATTTTACGTTCCACATTTATTTATTTATTTTTTCCCTTAAGATTTATTTCTATTATTTTTGTGCTTTATCAACACTCAGTAACAGTGGTTAATCTAAAGCTAATAGTACTATCAAACATTAACACACACTTAGATCTAAAAGGAAAGTGTTTGGCTCTACTGTATGTATATGATTATCATTTTTGGTTTTGTAGAATAAAACAATAATCAAGAGTTTTGTTCATTTACATTTATCAACTTAATAAATCTGTGCTTACTTAGCCTGCCACTCAAATCATACAGAAACTCTTACCTCCACTCAGGATGAGACAGAAGAGCACAACAAATCCAAAGCACATTCCTGAGAATATACGGCGTCTATAGTTTGTATCATGTGCACTAATTCTCCAGCCATATGCAAAAAGAACTATAGAAACAGATAAAAAAATTTTTTTTATGTCACACTAGATGCATGATGTTCTGTGCAAGAACAGAACATATGTACACATGTGGTGAACTGAACAGTGTTTGTCAAACAATTGTCATTGAGGCCATACCAACTTAATCATTATGATATTTAAGGAAAGTTAGGGTAACAGTATACATGCAATAAAGTATAAATTATAAAAGGATGTACTGTTATTATTTTGAAATGAAGAATATACTAGACACTTGTAAGCACTGTCTGTCTTTCAGTCAGTTTGAGTAATCAGGCTTGCTGACTTCAGGGTTCATGTTTACAGGATTTTAGTGAGGGGGTGTGGTATGATTTAATGGCTGAATTCTGGACAGGTCTACTGAAAGTTAGCAAAACCGGTAATATTTCATAAAGCACTTTATATGTCAGAATAAGTAACATGGCTTCTGTTGTGTGAAATGTGGATTCACCCACCTGAATAAACAACGACTGTAAGAACAGCAAGTTCATGTGTTATTCTGAAAAACCTGATCCATGAGTTATGATTGACTGTGGAAAGAAAGGGTTGAATACATAAAATGTATATATTTTTTAAAAGCACTAATGCACTGCCATTGTATTATATTATGTTAGTCCTGTTCTGATTGACTAAATTATGCTGTTCTCTGTTGTCAGAGATATCACATATTCTTACTCCCAAGGTGAAATACTGAAGCATGTTTGTGCATCACTGTCCAGATGCCAAATGAGTCCCACAGATACTTTAGAACTAGATTTTTTTAGACATGCATTCAAAATAAAATAAAACCATGTTCATTTTAAATACTTATCAACATACTCACACTTTACAGTTTACAAAAGCATATTTGTATCACCTTATTGTTCAAACAAGACTTATGGCTTTACTGAATGTATTACAAATATTTTTTTCACCAAACACTACAACTTTCTTGACACATACAATATTGTTGCCAAGAACATATTCAGAAAATAAACTTGAGTTTGTGGTTTGAAAAAATAAATAAATAAATAAATCATTGTGCTTCAGTATTTGACCCTTTACTGTATTTAACTGGAATAAAATTAATCACCAACAATATTGTAATGCTAAGCCTTAATATGTTGCCAACAAAATGCATTTACTGATCTCCTTAAAAAAAAAAAAAAACTTTAAATCCTAATATACCTTGAAGATACTTCAAATAGTGCAAAGCCCAAATCAAAAAAACAGGCCTCAGAATATAAAGGGCACAGCAGGGGACAGTCTCATGCAGAGATCCTGGAACAGAATATTTAATTATGGACTTTAGATGACAAATGACAACAAATGTGTGACAAAAAATGAGAAAGTGTTGAACCAACATGTGAGTCAGGGATGAGAAAAATCTGTACAACATTATGAACAGAAGACAAACAAAATCTACAATATTATTAAGATTATATTAATATTATTTTTCATATTTACAAACATAACTAAGAACACTAAACTACTGCACTCACCTTCAGTAAAGCCCCAAAGCATGAAGGCAAAGAACATACAGATGTTTGGATAAAAGACCAGAGAAACCTGAAGATTCCTGATCATGCTGCTGGTGACTGGAGAGAAGAAGCAGAATAATCCCAGTTAAATAAAAAAAAACACTTACTGTGAAACATAGAATTTAAATCACAAAAAAATAAGAACAATTCCCTTCCAAGCACAGGCCTACCAGTGTTTTTTGATCTGCAGTAGATCAGACAGCAGAGCAGAAGCACAGCTCCAAATCCAGCAGCAAAACAGAAAAATAACACAGCTATGTGCCAAGAAGAGACACCTGTGAAACACAAACATCAGGTATAACTTCACTGAATCAACTTGGTATATTTAGTCATAGTTTCTTATGGAGAAATAATCAGGAGTTTTGCAATTAAGACAATTCGTTATTTAAATGGATTCCTACAATTATTAGCAGCAGCTACTGAAATGTTAAAAGTTATTTGTTCTTTTTAAATAGACACTTTTTTAAGCTAGTATAAATAGCAAAAAATAGCACCTAATTTACACCAAATGCAAATAAATAATGACAGATACTGTTCATACAGTGTCCACAGCAAACAGTATATTCAAATGATTTGTGGACAGAGTTAATGAAAATTGCCACTGCCAACAAGTTTGTCTACTTAAATATAGCACAAATAGACATTCTTTTACATTTTGCTATGTTTGTCGACTCACCCAGTTGCTCCAGTTCTGCAGTTGCATTGGCTGAAAGATCTCCAGCAAACACTAAACACATGTAAACTCCTTTATCCTCAGTTCTGACACTCTTCAGTCTGAGAGAGAAGTTTCCTTTGGGGATCTCAGCAGTGAAGAACTCAACTCTGTCTCTGTATTGTTCATCTGATGAATCTGGTAAAGGCTCATTGTTTTGGAAGAGCAGAACTGGAATATCTCCATCTGTCCTTATCCATGAAACCTCAATGTGTTCAGGTGTGATGTGAGAGTCTACAGAGCAGCTCAGAGTGACGTCCTCACCATCATATGCAGAAACAGACTGATCTGATCCTGATACTAGCAAACGCTCTGAAAGAATAAAAATTGTTTAAATTCCATTACATAAAATACATCCAATGTCATTTATATTTTCAGCAGAATTCAGATGGCTCTCACTCACCATGTTTTATTTGAACCACAGTCTCACCAGAATCCTGCTGACTGTAAACTCTACATGTGTATCGTCCCTCATCTTCAGCTCTCAGATTGTCCAGACGGAGAGAGAAGTTTCCATGATGGATCTGATCAGTAAAGAAATTAGCTCTATCATGATACTCCTGCTGCTGGGCCTCTGGTCGACTCTCACCATCTTGATACAGATGAACCAGAGCCTCTGAGTCTGTTCTTCTCCATTCCACCTCCAGACCCTCCATTAGTAAGAGTTCATCAACATAACAGGGCAAAACCACTGAAGATCCCAGAGGAGCAATCACAGGACCAGAGGGACCGTGCACGATGAAGCCTATCACAAAACAGACAAATTGATTAATGCGTTAAAATAAATCAACAAATAAATAATAAGCGTTAAAAAAAGGAAATCTCGAAGGCTATTTTCGCGTATAGACGTAAAGTGAAAATACTCACCATCAGCGACAATCATAAGTATAGACATAAAAATACAGGTAATGTCCATCATGTATTAAAATTAGACAAAACTGTCATTATATCATAAATGATCATGAAAACGAAAGCCTTTTTCGTTTTTAAACAAGTCTCTCCTGCTCACCAAGGCTGCTTTTATTTGATTGACCAAAAACAAAAAATGCAGTAAAAATGTAATATTGTGAAATATTATGAAAATGTAATATAACTTTTCTATTTAAATACATTTTAAAATAAAAATCTATTCCTTTGACAGTAAAGCTGAATTTTCTGCATCATTACTCGTCTTCAGTTGTTTGTGTGTCACATGATCCTTCAGAAATCAGTCTAATATGATGATTTGGTGCTTAAGACGCATTTATTATCAATGTTAAAAACAGTTGTGCTGCTTCATTTTTTGGGGGGGAAACTGTGATCCATTACTATTTAAAAGTTCATGGTAAGTAAGTAAGAAAAAGACATTCGGCAAGGATGCATTAAATTGATCAGAAATAGCATTTATAATGCTGCAAAAGATTTCCATTTCAAATAAATGCTTTCTATTCATCAAACAATCTTGAAAATATTTATATGTATGATACATTTTAAAGCAGCAAAACACTTAATAATAATAATAATAATACAAACCATTATTGATAAGTGAGCACAACAATAATTGATAATTAAGCACATCTGCATATTATACTGATTTCTGAAAGATCATGTGACACTGAAGGCTGGAGTAATGATGCTGAATAAAAATTACATTTTACAATATAATAGTAATAATAAAAGTTATTTTAAATTGTAATATTTCACAATATTCTTGTTTTTCTTTCTTTTTTAATAATAAAATGCAGTCTTGAGCATAAGAGTAGTTTACAAAACATGTATACTCCAAATTTATGCTAGCATACACTTGTAAAATATCTCAATACACTACCTGAAATGAGTCTCGACGTAACTTCTGCTTGGATGCTTTGTGTCCGTTTAGACGCTGGAGACTATGAAGAGAAAACAGGTGGAGAAATACCACAGATCTCCTGCAGCCAAGAGACTAGAGATCGAGTGCTATCAGGAGTTAGGGATGGATGGGCATCACAAAAAAGGACATGAGAATGTCTGTTATCTTGACTCATAAATACAGTTTGTTCTTGAAGGAAAGTAAATAAAGCTATAAAAAGTCACATTTCCACTTTTAAGTGTTACAAAACAAATTAAAGACACATCTTACGACACATTTTTCAGATTTCAATTGTAACTTTGTGCACACAAACATTTAATTATTTCTTTATTTGAAACTTGTGGCATCAAGACAACTATACAAGTCATTGTCTAATCTGCAAGAGCCTGAGGAATCAGTGAGGCCAAAAGCAGCTGCACAGGAGCTTATTTTTATACTTTCAAATACAACATTTTGACATTCTTCATGTTAACTTCATGTTAACATTTCAGTCCAGTGGATCTTCATCAGATTGAAATGATACAAAATAAGAAAATAGTCATAGCTGTGCAAATTTATGCACATTTGCGACACTTTGTCTTCATCCAGCACCTGTAGAGGTTTTGTTGGATATACATCCAGTCTACTTTTCATAGTATAAAAATATTATCCTTAAGGAAACATTGTATTTAAATGTGACTCTTATAAACTGTTTTTGGTTCATTAAAAACATAGATTTTGTCACAGATTTAAATCTTATAAAACATTATAGAACAAATATAAACCTTTTTATACAATAGAAATAGCTGTTCTTCCTACAGAGGCAAATATAATTTGCTAGTCGATTTAAGAAAATCAAACAACTAAAAGTGTATTAAATATATTGATATTAAAACCATCTAATCATCTCTAGTGTTATGATTACAGGCCTTGACACAAATATAAGACCTACATCAAATGAATCATGATTTTAATGCTGCTACTGCAAGACTTCAATGATCAGATGGACATGTACTTGAACTCCATTCACTTTCAAACTCATTCTACTTTCAAACTAAAATGTCTAAAGATCTGTGACCAATGGCTAAATATACTGTGATTATGGCCAAAAAAAGCAGCACTAACAAGCCCTTTAGCTATAACATTTTTTCTACTAACTGGATTTGTAAGTAGGCAGTACCATGAATGAACTGCATTATCACACGTATTAATAGTTTGTCCTGGGACATGAACATATTCCTGTAACATTACAACATGGAGTACTATTTGCAGATTTCTTTTTTCTAAATCTTGATGGGAAAAAGACTGCAAGACTTTGCAATTGGGGAAACGCTACCAGCACCCATTGATTAAACCCCAAGCGGCCTTGGGTGGCATTACAGAGATGATAACGTTATAAATCTTTATAAAAAAAAATATGAATTGTGGATTTTTTTTTTTTGGGAATAATGTGAATGAATAAATCTATAAAACCAGGAATGTGTATTATGAAAGCTAATAAGATGAACTTCACATCAATTCAAGTTGACTTTAAAAAGTCAAAACAAAACCAAAACCCAGTACTGCATCTAACTTTGCCCAATCTTCTACTTCATGTCAAACCTCATACCTAGTGAATCTCCAAGCCTTCATCAAAGGTAAATATAAAAATAAAACCTCCACACTTGGTTCCTATGGATTGCAATTTCATCCCGCCTTCTTGTTTCTCTCTCCTGATTGGTGGAGGCCTCAGTCCGTCACTTCGCTGTAGTAGTATTTCTGAGCCGTTTCGCTGAGAGTCCAGCCTCCCGCACGAAACTCAAGGATCTCGAGCAGGAGCAGGCGGCCCATGGAGCTCAGGTCCTCCTGCAGGAGAAATCCATCCCTCAGCAGATTGAACAGCTCATCCATGAGCTGCATATTCATCTTCTCCAGCTGATCTCCGATACGGTGCAACTGTAACACCAGACAGTCCACCTGAGACAGAGAGATAAGGAGAGAACTTCAACATCCGAGTAAGATTAAACATTGCTACAAACTAACAGATAAATGATGAAGAGATAATTGAGGTGTCAGAAAAATTCTGCAATCTATATATATATATTGATATATACTGTATATCAATATGCACTGGTGAGTGAAAAGAAAACACTGATCCACAAAAGCTGACGTATGAGAAACCCGATGAATTAATAACTGATAAACAATGAGTCAAAACGTGTCATCTGAGAAGCCCTAATTAAACGTCAAAATGTTGTGATCAATGATTTTGGCCCTACAAACCAATTTCTGATGAAACCAAAATTTCATTTTTACCATTTTTTGATGATCACTAATTTATTTACTCAATCAGTTTATCCATTTGAGCCAACCACTAGTAACAATGTTCAAGATTCACCTCCTCCTCATTCTGCAGGGCATCAGACTGGGCCAGTCTGAACAAACAGTCATAGACGGGGTGCACAAGGGCCATCATGGGTATGTTGTTCACCTGCAGCACAGAGAATTAAAGGGGTCATATGATGTTGCTAAAAAGAACATTATTTTGTGTATTTGGTGTAATGAAATGTGTTTATGCGGTTTAAGGTTCAAAAAACACATTATTTTCCACATACTGTACATTATTGTTTCTCCTCTATGCCCCGCCTTTCTGAAACGCGTTGATTTTTCTCAGCGACCAGCACGGATCAGCTCCAGGCATGACGAAGCGGATATCGTCCTCTTTTGGAAGACCAAACAAAGGAGTTTCGCTTTCACAACGAAACACACAGTGCCTTCACGACATGGCGGTGGCGGCAGCAACAATACTACAGCGAGAATAAAAGTTACGCCTTCTTTCTTTGTGTGAACATTTGGGCAGCGTTATGCAAATCTTCCCACATCGTGACGTAGACATGTGGGGGCATGTTAGAACGAGCCATTTTAGGTGGGTGTGGTTGACTCTTAACTTTTATAAAGAATATCCCTTTAGATTTGAGACTTTAGTCTTTGCAACTTTCACAGATCTTCTTTATGCACCAAGAGCTTGTAACACTCCAAAGAGAAAGGAAAAATTTAAATGGCATCATATGACCCCTTTAAGTTAAAAGTTAGTAAGCACTTCAAATTAATTTACAAATGCATTTTTAATTATAGTTACCCTGCATGCCTTCCTAAATGAGACGAGATGAGAGAATTGTGAACGTAAAATTTAAATTAGCTGAGAATTGGCTCACCCTCAGACCATCCAAAATGTAGATGAGTTTGTTTCTTAATCAGAACAAATTAGGAGAAAGCTGCTCACCAACAGATCCTCTGCAGTGAATGGTGCATCAGAATGAGGGTCCAAACAGCTGATAAAAAAAAACTTCACAATAATCCACAAGTAAAGACATTAATTGATGGACTGGATTACTTGTGGATTATTGTTATGTTTTTATCAGCTGTTTGGACTCTCATTCTGACGGCACCCATTCACTGCAGAGGATCTGTTGGTGAGCAAGTGATGTAATGCTACATTTCTCCAAATCTGTTCTGTTGAAGAAACAAATACATCTACATCTTGAATGACCTGAGGGTGAGTACATTTTCAGCAAATTTTAATTTTAGGTGAACTATTCCTTTAAGCATTAAAACAGAAGGCAATTTTTCACCTTGAGGTAGTCAAAGATGTTGCAGATGAAGGACACGAGGCAAACCCACTCCTGAGTGGATCTCTTCCGCGTCTCCTCTCTGGCTTTAAATTCCTGCTGCAGTCGGTTCAGAATGTTACGCCGAAACACATTCCCGTTGGTCTGTTTGGCCTCTGCCTGCATAAAGTCAGTCATATGCTTACAACTCAGTCCTAACAAACTACAAGCTACACATGGTGCATTTGTTTACCTGGATAATCGTGTAACAGATGCGTCCGGCCTCCCTGCTGAAGATCTGGTCCTTCAGAGACTGGTCCACTATTACATTAGACACTTTCTCCAGGTCAACTGAACCTGGGTCTGGGGGGGTCACATTTGTGAGCCTAACAGTAAAATATGTCATGCAAAACTGCTGCAGATTCAAGATAATGACCTTTCAAGGCAGTTTTTAGGAGTTTCTGTGTCTCCAAATCAAACGACTGGATCTTGTACTCCTCTTTAGTTGAGTTCTCCATTCTGTTTAGGATGGCAAGACAGGGAATCAATCGATCGATCAATCAGTAATCAACCTTCAGGCACATAAGATCAGTTTTCAGTGTTTCCCCTAGGTTTACGGCTTGGGGGGGGGAGAACAATAGTAGGCTAATATATTTCTGCTGCAATGTCTTCAAGTTAAACTGAACTTTTATTTTGACCGGTTGCCGTGAATACCTTTACATTTCTGTGTGTATATGATATGAGGATAGTTTTACTCAAATGAAACGGTCAAATGCTCAAATAACTCAGAGCAGTTCTGGAGATGTTGTTCATGTATTTATGTCCTCATAGTGAGACGGCAGACGTTAATATCACCGGAAACGGTGTGCTTCAGTACGAGTAGTAAACAAAACTGGCGTCTGCGCCATTCATTAACACAGAGACACACAGAATTCATATTTAAATAGTCGTTTTGCGGCTTAATATTTACAAATACTAGTGGGAGTGTGCTCACTTGTGTGTGCGCATCGGGGCGGAACTCCTTCAAGGGGGGGCAGTGGGTGCAGTTGGGAGGGGGGGGGTACCCCCTTAATATAATGTCAGGGGAAACACTGGTTTTTCTGTGAAAAATGTGTAGTGGTACTCTTGTGAATGGCAGCAGACACTGACAGGGAAGAGAAAAACTGTTGACTAAAGTCGTTATTTATGTTTTCTTTGCGCACAAAAAGTATTCTCGTTGCTTCATAACATTACAGTTGAACCACTGATGTCACATGGACTATTTTAATGATGTCCTTACTACCTTTCTGGGCCTTGAATGTGGTAGTTCCCTTGCTGTCTATGCAGGGTCAGAAAGCTTAATTTGTGTTCTGAAGATGAACTGAGGTCTTACGGGTTTGGAACGACATGAGGGTGAGTAATTAATGACAGAATTCAGTAACACTTTAGTACAGGGACCAATTCTCATTATTAACTAGTTGTTTATTAGCATGCTATTATTAACATATTGGCTGTTTATTAGTACTTATAAAGTACTTTACTAACTATTAATAAGCAGCAAATTTGGAGTCAAAAGTCGTAGTGAATGGTTTGTTAATATAGCGAGAATTGGAGCTTAAAATAAAGTGTGACCCAGAATTTTCATTTTTGGGTGAACTATCTCTTTAAGTTGAGCTACAATTAGCAATCCTGTTACAGATAAATACTGACAACCAAATCTCTTGCCTGCAACATTTTAGAAAGTTGACCATAAAATCATGAACTTAGTGTAAACACTCAAAGTTGAATATGAAAAACACAAGATCACAATTTAAAGCCAGAGGACAACATACTTTTTAAAGAAAGATTGTTCTGCTTAATTTATATGGGCAAAATGTCACAGACAGTGAAAAAATAAATAAATAAATGCACCAAATGTGATGGGCTGAAAAGTTTACCCAAAAGTGAATTCCTAATTTTATCTGTTAATTAACATATCAACACACTGTGACGAGTCGGCTGCCTCCCCCTAATTATCAGCATCACCCCGCCCCTTAATCGCTGCCCTTAGCCAGGCTCCCGACATGAGTGGGTGCGTGAGAGAGCCAGGGCTGGCGGCATGTGATGGGGCACACCTGAACCGAATGGAGCCTCATCACCACCACTGTTTAAATGCCAAGCGCGCCTCTCCTCGGGGAGACCAGTCTCTTCCCCGTGCATGCACGCTGGTGTCCTCGTGGGGCCAGGAGGGGGGCGTAGAGGGACTCCCGTGCCGCCATAGTGCCGGACCCGCAGTCCGGACGAGAACCGCACCCGTTACACGGCCGTCGGGCAAGGATGCTGGGCCATCTAGTCCCTTCAAGTGCCGTGGGCAGAAAGAAGGACGAAGCCGCTGATAGAAGCCGCCGCCCCTCGTGCCCCGGACCGGAGAGGGGAGCGCGTGCGGCCGCCGGACTCCGCCCCTTACCTGGACCCTTCCTTCCTTGCTGACCACTGCCCTTCCCGTCACGAACCCCGCAGCACAACGAGGACACCAGATCCCCTGTTTATTTTGGACACTTGATTCCCTTTTTTCTGGACACTTTGTTCACAACTTCCGGTGCGTGCGATGTGTACGCGCTCTGGCGTAGTTTACGTAAGTGCCGGAAGTGATCTCTCGCACGTATATGTCACTCATTGTTTACACAGTGCACAGTAAAAAAATTATATAAATACTGTTCAGTTTCTCGCACAAACCGATCGTTTCGTGTGTTAGGACATCAATGTGTCGTCACGAGCCGCAGGGTTTAATTTGGATTGGTCTGTGCATGTTTTTTTTACACTCATAGACTTTGTTATCATTGCCATGCATTATAAGACTGATGGACTCCAACGGTTGGACTTAAAAATCATCAAATGTGTTCTACTGAAGAAACAAAGTCACCTACATCTTGGATGCCCTGGGGGTAAGCAGATAAACATCACATTTTCATTTTTGGGTGAACTATCCCTTTAATATATTGCCCCTTTGTGTCTAGTATTAGTCTGATTTGCATTAATAACCACTAGAACTTTAATGGCAATGCAACTCGGACCAATACCTCATTATTGTCATATTGTCACTGTGCTGTGGTGAAACAGAAGATGTGTGAACTATGTGCTGTCATCAATCTGACTTTCAAAGGGAATCAGAGCAGCTCGTGAGTTAAACGGATTACCCCAACCGGCCAAACACCATCAACCGACTCAAAACTGCTCATTATTACTGACCAAAAACACCCTTTGAAGAAATCAACTTCAACTGTAACTTTACAGTCGACTGTAGGCCTGATCTGTACTTTCCCACAGTGAAAATACACAAACGCCGAAGAGTTAGCGAAGAAATACTTTACTATTTTGGTTAGTTGTGGCCACTCCTAACTACTCAAAACTCATAAAACCGCTCAATAAGACAGATACAACTTCATTTAAAGACAACAGCAAACTCAAATACACACTTTCACGGCAATATCATGAACACTATGATTGAAACTCTTTGAAATATACGTTAACGTTAGGTAAACAACAACAATACAGTAGCACACCTAATGTTATCCGTTTAACAACACTATGAAAGGCATATCAAATTATTTTTATACTGCTAAAATGTGAGAGGGGTAATATCGCATGTTCATAAGGACAAAACTTACATTAAAAACAGTAAACAGGCAAATGTTTTTTCACATATCCAATCCTCGCTCTTTTCCTGCGTCTCCTGTACGCGAATCTGCCAACACTGTCTTATGAATATTAATTACGTAATGTGACGTTGTCTCGGTTGACCTATCTGATTGGCTGAAAAGGGCTGGTTCTATGTTGAATATTCATTGCGTTATACTGGACCCCATAGAAAGGTTGAAAAGCAACTTTTCTATGACCAAATTAATATGAATAAGCAAAGCGTGTCTCTCCAGTTACGTGTCCACTGCAATGAAAAAAGAAAGAAAAATGTTCAAAACCATCAGGTCTGCCGCTTTGGGGCGCGCGGCCATAACCAGCTCATAAGAACACACATGCATAAAAATGACTTTTATTAAAACAATCTGTTTGAAACCTAACCTCAATTTAGCTGTTTAGAGTAGCAGGTTATGTCAGATTATTTGCACCCATGGCAGAGCAATAGACGAGAGAAATACCTGATATTGAAAAATTATTGAATTCACAGAATTATTTTACTTTTTTTATTTTAATACACATAGGCTACATTTATAAAGTCAGAACACAACCCTATGGCTTAGTAATCCATCTTTTGCTTTATATGTTCCTGATTTATATGATTTATGTGAT